CCCCAGGCCCCCAACCCCTCGTGTGTGGGGCAGGGGTGGCCCCCAGCAGCCATACCAATCAGTACTTTTGAACCACCAGCTATTTTAGAGTTCAATAATCAGGACTTACAAATGAAAAACTCAGGAACATTTATGAACTGCCTCTGTGCAGCCACAGATTTACAATGCACTATATAGTATAAATGCTATGCAACCTCTCCTCTTTCCTTTGGTTCTCTGGCAAATGATACCTGTTCAGCTTCACACAGCTGCAACCTGGATCCTTTTGACCCATGCACTTGGGCCCTTCCAGGCACTGAAGTCTGTCTTGGCCTTAGGGGGAGCAGGAGCTAAACCTTTAATTTTGTAAGAACTTGTTCTTTTCCCTTCTCTCTGGGATGGCATAATATGGGTCCCTGGCCTTTGGCATACTCATTCCCTATCACTGTCACATTGTGGCAGCATCCTTTCAGCTAGTCACTGGAACCAGGCCTGCTCTGGACCACAGATTTCTATCCAAATCTGCCAGCAGGAGCTGTAGTGACAATGACATGAGATATTTCCTCTAGCACAGAGGTCACCATCCAAATGCTGCTTTAAACACCCATCAAACTGTAAATTTAAAGACAGAGAACAGGAGCTGGAGCTGAATCTCCACTGTTCACATGTTTGAAATGCATTGCATAGTGCGATATGACAAAAAACTATGTTTAAGATAACTATTATTTCAAGAAGCTGGAGAGGATTGCTCAGTGCTCTATGCATCAGGTTTCATACGCCTGCATGCCCAGCAAATCCTCAGAACCAATTTTTTCATCCTTCAACCTAAATTTCATGCAGCTACTGTGGGTGCGTGGTGCTGGTCAAGTCTCTCAGATAAAGTCTACTGAAGTGCCATCTGCTCTGCATGGGCAGTGAAGATGGTTTGGACAATGGGGCAAAACATCCTTCCCTTTCCCTACTCCTTCACTCAAAGCACTTCACACAAAGCGGAGGGGATGTGTGAAAAACGACCAAGTGGTGAAGAGTGCAAGATAAGTCCAATCCAACTACCATTCCAGTCAACAAGCATTTTCATATTGACTGCATGGGACTTGGGACTGAAAGCTATCAGAATGAAATGTTATTAAATTTACATAGCATGTCAATCCAAGCATTCTCCAAAATCTTGAGTGGTCCTTTAGACATACACTTTGTTAAACATTTTATGTAATTTGGGACAACAGTTACTTAACAGGCCCGCTAATCATTTCTCAGCAGTTGGGGATTTGTTTCTTGTATAATTAGTTCCTAAAAAAGTGCAATAATAGATCTAACCACAAAAAGACAAAAATAACAAGGTCATAGAATGGAATAATTTAGCAACAGGTTCAACTCAAACAAAACAAATGCAGGGCAACTCTCTAGTACTTAATCCAACTGGAGAAAAACAAAAATAGTGATGACAGCCCTGGCTGTCTCTCTCAACAGAAGAGAAGCAACTAATTTGTCAGTTCTCTCTTCTTCCATAGCAAGAGTCTTCTAGGTTGGAGGAAGACCACAAAACAGCTCTCTTCTCATGAACTCCACTTCTTTTATCCACTCTTTTATGAGCCGTATCCCATTTAAGATGAACATCTCTGTCCCACCTCCCAGAAGCTTAACATGCCAAAGCTACCAGCTCTTCTCACCAAGTCTGTTGATTATAGCAGTCTTCCAGTTGTCATATTGTCCTTTTTGTCCCCCAAAAAGCCTAAAACCCTTTCTTGGGTCACTCAGCAATAAGCATGCACAGCCCAAAGTCCCCTAAAATTATCAAATATCAGTATACAGAGAGCATTAAACTTGTAAACTTATTATGTGGCATTTAAAGCAGAGGTGGGCAATTATTTGGGCCCATGGGCCACATTAGGAATTTTGGTGAGTTGTTGCAGGCTCAGCCAGCAATACTTCCCCCCAGCAACAGTGTCAGTAGCTGGGACCTATCACAGACTGGAAAAAAAGCCCTTGGCAGGCTGGACATATTTTGCCCACCCCTGAAAGCCTCCTAGGTTATTATGTGACATTTTAAGGAAGTGCTAGAGTAACAAAGCATTTCAATCCTGGCAGAAAATAAAATTCTTATGAGTCTCTCAGTCAAGAAGCAAAAGCCAAAAGAAACTGCTCTGCATTGCAGACCAACAGTCACTTATGTTTTAATTTAAATGAAAAACACCTTCAAATATGACTCGAGTCCATTTGTGTGAAATTTCACTGGGATTCAGTTTCTCCTTTTTCCCTCAGTTTCATATGCGTTTAAACGCCCACTACCATGGTATCTGCGAATACAACATATAGACTCAGGACCACATGAAACAGCTCACAAGAAGCATCCAGCAGTTGCTAAGTCACTGCTCAGTCATGAATTCGCTGAATAAGGTGCGATGACTCATATGCTATGAAGAAAGACAAATGCAAGTGAATTGGTCCCTGGACGGGAGCGTTCACATTGTCACATTGCAGTCAAAGGTGTGACTGCAGCTTCTGTAAACATGCAGGAACTAGTTGTGAAACATGTCTGAGATCTGGGCACATACTTGGGTGGTTAGCCAGCACGTAGCTTCCGGCTGCCGTGGCTAAACTGTTGTCAGTCCCAGAGCAAGTGAGATTACAGGATTTATACAAACTGTGCTCACCTTCCAACACATCAGAGATGCAAAGAGGTCCTCCCAACTTTCTTGAAAAAGTCAGGCCTATTTATTACACAGAAAACACAGACCTAGGCCCACACAGCCACGGTTAGCCCTCTCTGGTACTAGCAGGGTCACTGAGTGTGCATCAAGAGTTGGGGCAACTTTTTTTTTAAATTAAATTTTCAATATTCCTAGCCAAAAAAAATTCCAAATCTGTGAGTCAGTCCAGAACCATAAGCGGCCCTACTACTGGCAAACATCCTCCACCCCGACCTGGGGCTTCAGATGTTTCCAAACCCCACTTGCAGCAGAGGCTTGGGGTTTGGATACCCCTGGTTTTGCTTGCCCTCAGGCCTATGGGCGCAGGGGCAAGCCAGGAAGAAGTCTACCCTTTCTGTAAAAGGGGCTTAAAGCCAAGACCTTCCCACTACACAGGTACGATCCCCATGCCAACACAGAGGTCTTCCCTGTGCCACCAGGTGGTCACGGTGTTTCCCTTGCTGGGTCAGCACAGACTAACACTTGATCTGAGCCGAGAACAGTTGGGGCAACTCATGCAAAAACAGGGTGGACTGTGGACCCATTTTCTAGCCTGGCCAACACAGGATGGGTTGAACCATCTGAGACATCTCCCTGCTAACAAGAGCAAGGCTCCTTGGGCCTGGAGGGACAGGTTAGTCGGACCCTACTGCGCATGTGTGGCTACAGGTCTCCCTCCGCGCCCCCCCGCGCCAGCTCCGGAAGCCGCTGCATCCGCACGGGCTGGAGGCCAAGGCACGCCGCGGACACCCTCCCCCCACTCACCGAGGCACAGCTCACACACGTAGGCGTAGTAGGACCAGAGCACCACGGCGGCGATGAGCAGCACCGGCACCCAGGCGAGCGCCCGCTGGCCCCAGCGTAGCCCCCGCGACAGCGCCACCGCCATGGCCGCACGGGGCCCGGCCGCCTCGGGCATTCATTGAGCAGGGCTGGCAGGTGGGGCGGTCGGGCTCGGCGCTCGATTGAGGAGCCTGACGGCACAGCGACACCTAGCGGCGGTCCTGCTGGAACTGCTGCCCGTGGGGGAGACGCTGTTGCGCATGCGTGGAGGGCTCCTGTCCACGTCCGGACAGCTCGTACAAGCAGCCGACACGCTGGGCTGGGCAGGGACCCGCACGGGGGGAGGGGCCGGATAAGAGCCGCCCCAAGCTTGTCATGCACGAAGCTACAGCTGCCTGGGGAGGTGCAACAGCGCTGGGCGCTGCGGAGAGGAAAGAAGCCACGGTTTTGTGTCTAGAGACAAAGAAAAGGTTCAGCAAATACCAGTGCAAAATGCTGCAGTTGAGGCGCAACGATCCCCTGCACCCGTGCAGGCGGGGGCGGGGCGACTGGGTGGGCAGCAGATCTGCAGAAAGGGAGCTGGGAGGTGACAGCGGACAATAAGCTGAATGTGAGCCAGCAGTGTGCTCTTGTTGCCAACAAGGCTAAGGGCATTCTGCGCTGCATTGGTAGCAGTGCTGCCAGCGTGTCGAAGGAAGGAATTATTCCCCTCTGTTCAGCACTGGTGAGGCCACATCTGCAGTACTGAGTCCAGTTCTGGCCCCCCACGATAGAAAGGGTGTGGACAAATTGGAGAGGGTCCAGTGCAGGGCAACACAAAGGGTGTGGGGACCGGGAGACATGACTTAGGAGGAAATGCTGAGGGAACTGGGCTGATTTAGTCTAGAAAAGAGGAGACAGAGGGGATTTAATAGCAGCCTGCAACTACCTGAAGGGGCATTCAAAAGAGGATGGAGCTGGACTGTTCTCGGTGGGGACAGATGACAGAACAAGAAGCAATTGCCCCAAGTTGTAGCACGGGAGGTTTAGGTTGGCTATTAGGGAAAACTCTCTCACTCGGAGGGTAGTAAAGCACTGGAACAGGTTACCCAGAGAGGTTGTGGACTCTCCATCCTTGGAGGTTTTTAAGGGCTGGCTAGACAACACCTTGGCTGGGGTGAACTAGTTGGGGCTGGTCCTGCTTTGAGCAGGGGTTTGGACTAGATGTGATATTTTCTATGATTCCAGAGTGAACAGACAGTCTGGCAGCAGCTCATAGTATCCATTAGTCACCCTGCACATTAGAAAATTGTTTGCCAGCAACCTGTGGAGCTGCTGGGTCCTTTGCACAGTGTTTGACTTGGAAAAGCAGGCCTATTTGGACAGGTCTGTGGCTCAAGGTTTGGACTTGTAAGTCACTTCAAGACCCACCAGTGAGCATAGTGATCATCCTCAAATCAAGGGATTACTGCCAATGATAGTGAAAGTTTTTCAACAGCAATAAAACCCCCCCACAAAGTGAAATTATAGAAAAACATTCCATAGTGCTCTGCACTACTGCAGCAGTGTGTGAAGAATTAGGGTTATGATGTGGCATGACAAAAAGGAGGCAGTAGGATTATAGCACAAAACCCTTAACCTTCAATGCCACTGCAAGGTTTCCTTTTTGACAATGACAGGAAAGAACTGAACAAACTATAGAAACAGACCTGATTTCCTGTTCTGAGAAGTGGTTCCTTTTTGTGGTTCAGAGGAGTCGTTTCGTGGGAAAGCTTGCACAGCTGCTGCCTCTGATCTCTGTTCTGGAGATAAATGTTGTACTTCATGTCCAGGGCTGGCAACCCACCACCTTTCACCAGCCTTAAATTCACAAATAACGTGTTTAAAATTAATAATCAGAGAGAGATCTTTCTCTCACTGAAACATATAAAATCATTCATATCAAATGTTAAGAAACATTTAATAAGGAATTGTAAATATAGGGGGCACTCCAGGTTCACTATACATGAGTTCATTATACATTAAAGCAAGAAGGCAAAGTGTCCACTAGATAGCACTAAAGCACTGTAGAAGTAAACAGCAGTTTTCCTATGGGACTAGGTTACTAGCACCACTATTATTAAGGTTGAAACTAAATTGCTAACAGCAACAGCCGTTTCTTTCCAAATGTCCAAAAAGCTACATACTAATGTGGATTGTCTTGAAAAGTAGTGTATTATGTGGGGGTGTCAGCGAGGGACAGTGATCCAAACATGAGGTTGTTCATGTAAGAGGCTCCCAAGATCCAGCTTCCCTAGAAATATAATGATCTGTCAACCTTTTGCAGTTCTTAGATCTTTTTTATGCATATCTGGAGTTCAAACAATACCCTTCCACATGCTGAATCACCCATAGGGATTGAAATTCAACCAGTGCTGAGCACCCACTGTCCTCTGGAGGATCAACATTTAACATGTTATTTGGGGCTAAGGTTGGCTCAACAATTTGTCTTGACCAGCCAAAAAATGTCCTTTTTGTATTACTGGCCTGTTTGCAAGTTGCCTCACACCACATTAAGCGGGTGGTCTGAGGAGACTTTTTGTGGCTATTGAACTTGAGTAGCCACCATATAATATATCAGCAAGCACTGACGGCTGTGTAAAACTGACACTATGTAAAACTGATGGAGACTTGTATATGCCATGAATAATACATATATTTTCTTAATTCATGTTTAAAATAATAAATAAGTATAAGTATTGAGATGATGTAATCATTTGCAGGAGTTATCAGTATGTAAAACTATATATTTGAGTTTCTCCTTTAATTATACATGTACATCTTGCAAGCCTTCATAAAGAGGTACTGTTACTCAAATAGGTTTCTATTTTTCAACCATGAACCTCTGTGTCATTAAAAATTTTTATCTTGTCCCATGTCTGAAATCTGTGGTGAGGCTAACATTTGTTTTAATGAAACCCCAACTTTATAAAGACCTGGGATTCCCCTTGAGATTTGATAATATTGGGATTTATCTGATTTTTCCAGCTCTCATCCTTGTTTAATATGGAAGTTCAGAAGATTGGTAGTTCAGAGGATCAGTAAATAACATTAACACATGAGATTACAGCTAATGGGATATTTTCAAACTCTCTAAGGAAACCAGATTGTTGATTTTGGCCAAACTTCCCTTTTCTTCCCCATTTTTCCATAATGTGTGAGACTCTGGGCAGGAAGGTGATATTGTCTGGGGCAGATTATGTTCTTGTCTATCCTCCCAGTTGAAGGTATACTCCCAGCAGGCTCCACTGAATTGCAGAAGAAAATGTGTCTGTGTAGGTGGTGTTGGCATGAGAGCTTTGGTTTCTTCAACAATATGTTGGTGTTCTAGGAAAGAGGATGGTTTCCCAAATCTAACAAAGATTGGGAAAGATGTCTTTGGACACTGTCTGGCTAACCTGGTGAAGAGAGATTTCAACTAGGTCCTATGGGAGAATAAGAAAGATGATAAAGGTTGGAGTACAAGTCACATGAGGAGAGGTTGGAGAAACTGAATATGTTTGGTTTGGAGAAAAGAAAAGAGAGCCACAATATAACAGTGTTCAGATATTTGAAAAGCTACAATAAGAGGAGTAGCACCTGTTCAGTAGCACCTGTTCTTCCTTCCCACAGACAGCAGACAGATTAAATCTCAGAAAAAGACCAATTTACTGTTAAAACAATGGGTCAATGGAACAAGCAGCTTAGGCAAGTTGTAGAATCTCCTTCTCTGGAAGTTTTCAAGAGAGGCCAGGTAGGCATTTATCTTTGATCAAGGAACCCTATGATTCTGTGTGATATGAATTCTTCCATAATATAAAGTGACCCCCTGCATTATCACACATTCAGACATACAGCATGAAGACAATGTCATGATGCTGCTTTGCAAGGCATACAACCAATTCTATAAGAGATTACGTGCCAAATCCTTAGCCAAATCCTCAGCAGCACAGTTCCACTGAAGTCAATTGTTCTGCACCGATTTGTACCAACCAAGGACACGGCTCAGTGAGCATAGGGTAAACGGTAGGTTTGGGTAGTTAGTAAAGATACCACTAATTTTAAAAACAAATTAAAATAAGTTAATTTTCCCCTGAAAGTGTTCACAATGCACTTTCCCTTACAATATAGCAGGGATAGGCAACCCCTGACACACGTGCCAATTAATGGCACATGGAGACATTTTCCTTGGCATGCCAGGAGGTATGCAAGGAAATTGTTTTAAAAAAAAGTGTTTTTAAGTTGCTGCTTCAGACTCTCCAGAGCAGCCACAGGTCCCAGTGCTGCGGCAGGCACCAGGGGCAGAGTCAGAAGAGCACAGGGAGGGACGCTGTCCCTGGGCTGTGCCCTCTAGCCCAGTCCGTTCCCTGGAGGGGAGCTGTGGGTAGGCGAGGTCAGGGCCTGGGCAGGCACTGTGGAGGGCTGCTGGAAGCCCCCTGAGCCTGGTGTGCTGCCCCAGCCACGCAGCATCCTCTGGTGGATATGGCGGTTGTGGCCCATCCCCACGGAGCTGCGTGGGCTGGGCAGGGCCCCACTTCAGATGCCACTGGGCGCCCCCACCCGCCCATCTTGGCCTCAGTCTGCGGAGCCCCAGGGCAGCCCCTGCTTCCCACCCAGCTCCCGCTCTCCTCCTGGTGCCACCTTCCCAAGGGCCCAGCTGGGCCAGCCTGCCCATGGCATCTCCCCCTGCACTGCCTGGACGCTGCCCTGAGCACCTGGGCCGGGAACTCAGTACCCTGATGCTGTCCCACCGGGGTAGGATGGGGCGTCTGTCTGCCCGAGCCCTGGCCAGGCCCTTCCTCCCAGTCCTGGGCCCGGGCTTCTCCTGCTCCTGGACTGTGCCCTGGCAGCTGCTGCTGGAGTGTTGCTGCCTCCTTCCTCTGGACGCTGCTCTGGACCAGTGGGCCTGAGCTGCTGCTGGTAGCGGTGGGAGACATGGGTGGTGAGGGACACACCTTCTTTCTGTCTTTCCTTTTTTTCTCTTTCTCTTTTCTTTTCTTCTTTTTCTTCTCTTCTGTCTCCTTTTTTTCTCTCTTCACTTATTTCTCACTCTCCTCTTTGCCTTCTTTTTCTTGCTTTACCTCTTTCTGTTGCTTCTCTCTCTCTTCCCCTCTTTTTCCTCTTCTTTTCTCTGTCATCGCAACTTGCTTAACAAAAAAGAATACACAAGAACAAAGGCAGTATATAGTTTTATTTACTGTCACCAGGTTTAGAATTTTTAGAAAGCCTTGTATTTAGTCTAAAAAAGCAATATTTATGATTATTAACTATATTAATATGCAGTGTATCTTGCCATGTACCCCCCACCCTGGTTTTGTTTTTCTGGCATGCCAGCAGTCTGGCACCTTACAAGGCAGACATTACAGTTTTTTCAGCACTCCAGCCAAAAATGTTGCCTACCCCTGCACTACAGTATCTCTACTACCATTACATTCAAACTGCTGGTTTGTAATAATTTGAGTTGGAAATAACAGGCAGTCAGAGGGCACAGATCTATTGGCATGTTCCTGAGCAGAGACGCATTGTGCAGTGCAATTTGGTTTTTCTTACAACTTTTCCTGCCCTACACAATGTGTGTAGGGCAGGGGTGCTCAACCCCTAGCCCACAGGATAGCTCTGGCCTATGAAGCCATATCATCCAGCCCACATGGGCTCCTCACTTGTCTGCAAATTTGGTGTTCAGGAGTGCTGGCAGTGTTAATTGCTACTCCCTTGATACCAAATTTCCAGACCCCTGGGGGAGCCCTGCAGGTTGGATAATGTGACTCTGAGCATTATGTTGCTCCAGTGCACAGCTGGATCCAGGCATGTGCAGCTGGATCTGGGCGTGCAGGGTCTTACCCATGAACTGATCCTGTGCAGGATCCAGCCCATGGACCAACCCTGCACCAATCATTTGGCCACTGGTTGGGCACTATTGTCTCAAGGTATTAAAGAACAAATGAAAAAGCAGCCATTAGCAGACAAGTTTTGTCTCATAACATTTTTAGTGTGGTCACTCTGTATACAATTGGAAAGAACCAGTTAATAGCATCAGACCATGAGAGGGTGCTGGAGTCCACACAATATCATTTAGTCAGAGCTGGCTGCTCCCTTGTAAAACATGAAAGAGAAATTTGCGGTTTTCAGTGCTGGTAGGTACAATAAAATAAATCTGAGGAGATGAAAAAGGCCACCTGTTCTATCATGCTTTATAAAATTTGTACCCTTTCCCAGTTATTGTTCTCAGAACATTTTTTCCCATGATTGTTCTCTTCATTCATTCCCTGGGGGTGCAATCTCTTTAAAGACTCTTGCACTAGATGCTTAGGTTGCAAAGTCAAGCACTTGAAAATTAGGATAAAATTGTATGAAAAACCATACCTTTGACATTTCCTGACTTCTGAAAGCTTGACTCTGCAACCTAAATAATATTATTTTAGGATACTTTCTGTATCTAATTTCCTATTCTGTTAAGGAAAAAGGGAAAAGCAAATGCTATTATGGATAATGGTAACAACCTTCCTTCTGCAAGACCTTAGGATTTGACTCTGCACTTTCAGCAGATATCAACTTCTTGAATTACAGGACTATGTTAGTTGACCACAGCAGAAGGCTATTATTATACTAGGAGATGGACTGTGGGTGCAGGTGCTGGGTGTGTGGTGGTTAAAATGAATCCAGTCCATTTCACTCTCTTGTCTATGGGAAGTAGAAGACCCTGCCCATGTAGTACTTCCAGAGATGATTGAAACAGGTTACTGGGGAAATGTGCTGTGTCCAGAAGATTATGGGGAAGAGGATTATCGGGGGCTGGACTCAATGACCTCCCGAGGTCCCTTCCAGCCCTAAAGTCTATGAAAGCTCTGCCTAGATGTTTGCACCCCTTCAGGAACTGGCGGACTTGTTCTCATGTCTGGTGCCCTCAAAGCAGGGCTGGGATCCTAGGCCCCTGTACTAGATCCAGCTGCTGAAGCAAGAGTCTACTGCTACAGCTAGTACACTGGCTTCCAGGTTTTCCTGGACTGGTGCTGCTTTGGTGGCCATGTGGGGCCTCCATCATTAAAATGTTCATAGTCAGTTATTATTTTGGCATACTGCCAAAACTTCCTGGAGCAGCAGAAGGGAGTAAAGGAAAATGCTGATTCTTATCTGCTCATTAGTCAGCTAAACATCAGTGTGATATAATGGGACAAAAAGGCACTTACTTAGCATAAGAGCTTCCCCTATGCTGAATTTCAGTGGACTGCTTTATAAGATAGCGGTGATGAAAACTTCTCAAACACAAAAAATTATCGGTGGGTAGGTATTAGGCAACCTAAGTATGTAGAACAACAATTCTATAATATAGTACAGGTATGAAAGCAAATTTTTCATCTGACATTTAGTTTCTCCTGGGAGAGTCACTGAGTATACACCATGAGTGCAAAGATGTTCAGGATTTTTCTCCCAGAGCAAAAATGGCTGCTCAGAGAAAAGTAATCCAAGAATAACCAAGGTTAAATCACTTCTGGAAGAGTTTATCCTGAGACAGTGAGTAACTGTACACATTCTCTTGTGGGAGAAGCCACAGAACAACCCATCATCCCAGGGTGCTTTGCTCCTGTCCTCTCCAACCAGGAGACATTGTGGGCATTTATAGATGTACTCCAGGAAGCGGGGGGGGGGGGGGGGGGGGG